AGAATCATGAATTAAGTTCTTCGTCCAGTTGCCGCTTGCAGCTGAATTCGAGAGAGATTTGAGGATACAATTCAGAGATTCATCTCTTATTGCTGCACATCTAGCAAAAGCTCAATCAGTGGCTCTGCTTTATTCGATCTGTTGGAACTTGTATGCAGTTGCCATGCTGAATTTTATGCACTCGCATATAGTATTCCAACTAATTAATTCTTTAATGCACTTCGAATGTGTCGTTTGCATTAATGTAGCTCGCCTGCTATGTTCGCAGCTCGCAGTGGATATTCGCTGGGGCCATTTACATAAATTCAGTGAGAAATGCAGCAGAAGTGCCCCCTAGATACACTTATAGATATGGCTAATGGGTGAATCAAACGATGGGGCTGGCAATCTCTGTATTGGGGCTGGCATTATCTGGTCGCTTGGTGGGCAGTTAGATGGGGCTTTGGGACTTTAATTACACTTTGAATGAATGCTAATTCATAATTGAGTATGTGAGTGCAACGAGCGCAGCTGCAGCTGCTGCATCTGTATCTATAGCTGTATCTGCATCTGTGTGTCTGTGTGTGTGTGTGTGTTGCCTGAAACTGCATTCAGACGGCCATGCAATTATGCTTGTTTAATTTAAAGCAAATTTATGTGCAACACGCTGCGACAGCAGCAGCAGCAGCAGCAGTAGCAGCGGATAAAATAAAGCTGGCCATGGCCACTCTGAATTTATGCGAGCACACACACACACATACACACTCTCGCATTCAGTTAGTTTAACAGGCAACATAAAAATGCTTCAAAAACTCTCAGCCAGGACATGGCACAGCGAGCGGCTGTGGCAGCTGAAAATTATTTGTGCATCCGGCACATCTAGCTCCGTGTGAATCGCTCCGCGTGGTCCTCTTAGCCAAAAGGGTCCAGGCGTGAGTTTCATGGCGTCTTTTACAGTCGTCTTCCGCTCCCGATGAAGCCATTTCGCCAGCGCTGGCTAAGTGAAAATATGAGCGTGCGGAAGCCAACTAGATTTCCCCAGTCCCCCATCTTCGCACTTCAGCTCCTTGCGCACTGTTGTGGGCGTGGCAGAAAATTTCAAATGGAATGCTCAGCACAAATTGAAAACAAATGACGCGCAGGCCTTTTTGGCTTAAAAGCAGACAGAGAGAGAAAGAGAGAGGGAGAGGTAGAGCTCCAAAGAAAAAAGGCTAAAATAATTTTTACAATTTTACTCGACTGGCCTTTCATTTAGATTTTGGCAGCGTGGCGCTCCTGCCGTTGGCCCTCCCGCCGCCTGGCGTTTTATGCAGCCCATTAGGGTACGTGGCCAAGTCCTGTGGCAGCCGGCCATGCCTCTGGCCCCCATAACTCACAGCGAATGACCTTCTGGCCGGCGCAGTCCGAGCGAGAACTGGCAGAAAAACTATGGCTGGCAGACCTTTTAATTCCTCGACAAGGCTGCAACACGGGCCAGTACATGGGCCAGGACACGGCAACTGGCTGACTTTTAAGCATTTGCCTCGTTTTGCGTCTGAGCTTTTTAAGCGATTGCCAAGCCATGATAAATCGCTGGACTAATTTAATTAAACTTTACGGCAGCGCACAAAATGCGAATTCCTGCCCAACTGCTGCACTGTTCCATTTTCTTATCCTTGTCCACATGACTTGCCCAATTTATGTGCTCGCCCAGCACTCGGCCAAAAAGAGTCTCCGGACTCGTGAGCCGGAAGCGAATTGCAACAGCAGCTGCAACTGCAGCAGCAGCATCAGTATGACAGTCACATACCTGCACAGATAAAGGATCCAATTAAGTTTATACAAATTATTATGAATGCTGAGCTTGCCGGCTGCATAAAGGCAGCCAAAGTTGCCAGGCTGAAATTAAAATTATACCTATGTATAACTGAAGAACTTAATGGTTTTCATTTAAAGCCAGTCATTATACATAACGAAGGAATAAATTGGATGCTCGTGTGGAAATAATCTTTTAAATCGATGGTCAGCCCAAAGCTGTTCGACTGTGGACAAACTGCTAAAAGTCGTGAAGGCACGAGTGGACAAGGAGGTGGAGGAATGTGCAAGTAAGGTGGTAAATACATATAAGTAAATGGAGAAAGAGATTAACTATATTAATATGGGACTAATAGCAAATATTATGTGTAAATCAAGTTAGCTTATGATAAGTTCTCTATGTAATGCTACATGGAATATATAAAACTTTAAGGTCTACTATTACAAATGAAACTTATGTAGACCAAGAGAGAATGCAGGCGCAGTAGGTTTAATGCACAAAAAAATATATTTATATATTAGTGAATAAATTTAAGAGCTTTTGAACAAGTGGCTTAAGTACAAAATATTGCTGCTTGGTATTAAATTATTAAATATATTCAATTATTCAGTCGTAATATATAGTATATGCTTAAATAATGTTTTTATATTCAGTTGTGTTTGAGTAGGCGTGTAAGTCAGTGTATATGCATACGTATACCATGTATATGTATTCAACACATTTCAACTTTTTTTATTCTATTCTATTATATAGTATGTAAATAGTATGTTAATTTCATTTTCATTTTAGCCTTCGCCTGGTGCTAATGACGTCAGTTTAGATGCGATATGGTTGGATGCGCTGGCAGTCTAACCGCGTATTTGGACTGTGGAAATCTCAAGATCTCTAGGTAGCGTTTAGTTTCACAGCAACTTGTTAGCATTAGTTAATCTTCGTAGCGCTTTAATTACTGAGTAGATTAGAAAAACTCTAAAGAGCTTGGAATTTTAAAGAGCCCAAATTAATTGTCTCTTAGGAAATGTCTGTAATATTAAAATAAAAATAATTTTAAAAAAAATGTAGCATAACATTGTAGTAAAATATTGCAGCATACTTTTAGACATACGGAAAATTACTCCTATACTACGATTATTCTATATATATATATGGACATTTTATTATATTAGTGAGCCAGTTATAAGTTATCAGAAGCTTAATTTGTAATAATTAAATAGTTGAATGAGAAGACTTTAAATTAAAGCATTATTCTGTCATAGCCCCAGGATATGCATGCCAGAGCTGATTCAAACATGAAATTGGTTAGCTTTTAAGCACAAAGACTATAAATTGCATATATAAACCATGAAGTTGGCAAAATTATTAATTTGTGAATTGATAATGAGGCTGTTTGTTTGTTAGTTTGTGTATTTATCTAGTTGAGCGTTGTGTAAAGAAAATCTCATTACGCACATTTGCGAGCGTCATAAATAAACACAGTTCTGCTGTAAATTACAGATTATAATGAAAACTAAAATGCAGCTGGGCGCAGCATGTGGCAAGGACACGGATGCGGACAGATGTGAGCTCGGACACGGATACGGCTGTGGATGCGGATGCGGATGAGGTTATAGACGAGGATGTGGATGTGAATACAGATGCAAATGGTTGGCAAACTAGCAAAACGTTTCGAGCGAATGCCGATAGTTGGGTTGGACACATATATAAATTACAAGTTCATTCTGATTTAATTGCACATTTGTGAATGCAATTTGTTGGGCCGAGTGCAAATAAGTATTATATTAAGTATTATGTTGTGGCATTACGTATTTGCAGCTTAGAAGCATTACGGGTATTCCAGGAGCAGAACCAGCAGCAGTCGAGCAGCCATTTCCTGTGGCTGCGTTAAGGATGCACACAATTTTAATATTAAATGCGATGCGATGCGAATGGACAGAGCAGGCGATGGCAGGAGCAGAAGCAGGAGCAGAAGCAAAGGTAAGTTGGGTATTCAGGTGAAGGGATACTTTCGGCAGGGGCAGGATTCTATGCTGCCCAGCAGGACATCTGCTCGCTTGTCGCAATTTCGTTTGGCAATGGGCAAAGTTTGGCGTCAAGTATTCGATGCGCTTTTGTTTGCCTTATTTCTCAAATTGTTATTTTACTTCTGGAAAATTTTCAGCGCTCTAGGCAGATACGGACTGCAAAAACTTTGCCCTGTATTTATGGCACTTGTTATTGTTCTATCTACAGTTGCTGCTGCTGCTGCTGCTGAGGCTGAATTCGATGTTGCTGCTTGCTGTTGCTGCTGTTTTTCTGTGCCCAGCCAAGCCGCAAGGTGCGTGGCATTTATAAACTTCCCAGAAGCACGAAAAAACAAGAAACCAAAACCGAAATTTGGTTTCAATGAATGGCTGCGACATTGCATTCCTCGACATTTACCAGATTACTTTGTCTTACGTCCTTAAAGCAAGGTAATAAAAAATACAAGTACTTTGTGGTCAGTGCTAAACAGAAACGCTCCCGTGACCTACCCTGTAGTTCCGGGCTTTTGTTTATAGTGCATACGAATGCCATTGTCAATTATCAGAAGCTCGTCTCTACAGGTATCTCACAGGGTAGAAAGAAACAACTCAAACTCAGCTTAATGAATACGCGAATCGCAAATAAAACGTGAAAAGTGATTAAACTTGTTTGAAGTGACTAAAAAGTAAATATTACAAGGTCTCATAATATGTTTACAATTTACATACAAAATTTATATTTCTTATTTGGCAGATATTCTTCTTTGTCTAGAGACAAAGTTTTAATGCGCAGCTTAAGACATACAAACTAACTCTGTTAGGGTTACCTAAGTTCATTTTTAAACTTTTTCACTCTGATAAGAAACAAGCATAAATATTTTAAGTTCATGCATAAGCGAAAATATATTTTTAGATATATTTCAAGTATGAGCTAGCTGAAAAAGCATATATAGTATATATGTATATATTATATACATACATACATCCTCGTATTTAAGGGAAGTACATATAAGGAAAGAAATAAAAAAATAAATAAATAATATATAAATAATATTTTAAAAATAATATTTTAAAAATCATATATAAATATTATATAAAAACATATTTTATAAATATTATTAAATAAAAAACAATTTTAATACATTTTATTTTATTAATAATATTATTATTATTTTTTGATTATTATATATTTTGTATTATATATTATTAATAGAAAATAACTTGAAGAAAAACAGCAAAAGTTCAGATAACGTATGCCACTAATTATTATTCTATCAGTTTAGCATATAAAGTCCGTTTGAAGAGAAAATCTGCTGAAAAACAGCTTCTAAATTATGATTTAATTATACCAAAAGTATTCTATAAGCTCTCTATAATATTTAAGACTTTCAGCTGTATTTTATGCGTCTGCTTCAGCTTGAGCTTAGCTCAGGAATGAGACACAGAGCCGGGGAGGACAGGAAAATATGTTTGCATCCAACTTGTCGCAGGTGACTTACCAACTACTTAGCACATAAAACATCAACTCAACTATGATGCAGATGAAGGTGGGAAGGAACAGAGCAACCAGCAAGGAAGCAAGGGAAAGAGCAGGAGCCAAAGTAGAAACTAGACGATGGCTTGTCCAGGCGTCAACAATTGGCGGTGCCTTTTAACGTGTATTAATAATTCAGGCTCACGTAGAAGTTGGCGTCACTTAACGAACAGCTCCAGGCGAAAGAGAAAGGAAGGAAGTGAGAGAGAGAGAGAGAGAGAGAGAGAGAGGGAGAGTGTGTGTGGGCTACTTGGCGCCAGGCAAAGTAAAGTGCAAGAAAACAACAACAAGGTGCACGAAAACAAACAACAATTTTGAGGAAATCTGGCGAAAATCACAACAGTCAACAGAAACAACAGCAACAACAACAACAACAGGAGGCAACGTACATAAACAGAGCTCAATGTGAATCCTGGGCAGCGAAGCAATGGCTGTCGTTGGCTGCAGACGCGAATCTGCGGCCAGAGGTAGCTGGTAAACGAAAGCAAGCTGGGGCACATCCTTGCTGGGAGGCTGTCGAGGCTCAGGTTCAGGCTGTAAGGTATGCGAAACGAAACAAAAAGCGGCTTGGCACGTTCCCATACATAAATAACGATTTGGAAGGCCGTTGGCTGTTGCTGCCGGAGGCCTGTTATGATGACGTTTATATCTTGCTCTCATTCTCATTGTCTCTTTCGTTCACTGTCTTTGTGTGTTTGTGTTTCTTTATGCCTGACATTAAGTATACGCCGCATGCAGCAGCCTCAACTTGTCTGCGCCCAGATAAAAAAATATGTTACTCAAATGGCAAATTTGATGTCTGCTGCCCCGTTCGCATAAAGAAAAGAACAGAGAATAACAGAAAAAGCAAATAATATAAGAAAACAAAATATAAAACAGGCCAGCGAAATCGGTATCTTCTGTTGGCCTTTACGAGACAGATCATTAGTATTCCACATTTGTCTCTGGCCAAACACTTTATTATGAATTCACTTTGGGGAATTTATGATGTTGAACTGATTCATAAATTATATGTAAATTTATCATTAAATGCACAAAAATAAAGCTTGGCACTTCTGGCGTGATTCTGTTCGAGATAACTATTGGCTTTTTTTCCCATTATTTAATGTGCATTAAACTCTGATTTGTGGGCAAGCTAGAAAATAAGCTGCAAAAATATTTATTGACGTTTATAATATATGTTTTTATTAATAGCTGTGACCAAATTTAATTTGACCTGATTGAAAATTATATAGAATTATTTTTTCTGCATTTAATTTTTTCAATATATCAAAATAATATTGCTTAAGTGTATAATGAAAATATGAAAAATATGGGTCTATTGGCTATTTAAATATTACCAATATTAAATATTATTTTTTAAAAAGAGCTTAGCTGTTTAGGTATACCATATATTGTTACCTTGAGAAAGGCAGCGTAATTGAAATTATAAGACTCATTGGATTAGCCGAAAAGTATTTCTATTATATGAATAGTAAAAAATGAAATATATTACAAGATTCAATAAAATACCAAATGTAAACAATATTAGATTTATTTATACATTCAATACTCGAATAAAAATAATTGAAATTCAAATATAATATATCCGCCTTTTTCAGTAGCATCTATTTGCCTTATCCTTGACTCCTTAAAAATATATAAGTTTCTCTTTCATTCGACAGTTTTGGTCTTCCAGCCGCTCTTCTTCAAGTGAGTTGATATATTGTACCTGATTCGATTTTTAATAATATCTTCAAATATTTCTTGATCAATTTAATAGCTCAGCAAAGTGCAAATTGAGTTCGATTTTGGCTCGGTTCGCTTCAACTCACGTGAAGTTCGGCTCAGTCTGAATGCTGGGATAAAAAATTGGCGCACGTTTTATCAAACGATGCCGAACTAAACTTTTTATGGCAGCTGTCGTCATTGGGGACTTGGGACCGGGAAGGCGGGCCATCGGATTATAGGCAAGCGGAAAGAGAAGCTGAAGTCGGGGCTCTTGGTATTTCCCATGCCACGTAGCTGAAACGAAGGAATGCGATTTATTTTCGCATTGACAATCGTTTGATTTTGGTCGTGCGCGTTTTTCTCTACTGCTGATTTTATGGCGGGGCACCAGAGTGGTGATGTGGTGCTGTGCTTCAGTGTGCGGCATATTGGCAGTGGTGGGGAGTGGTGGCCAAGTGGGTGGGGCTGCTGTCCCTTTCATTGAGTTGGCAATTTCTTTGCCATTTGAATTGCTGTTGCTTGTCGTCGCTTGTTTGTTGACTGCTGCTACTTCTGCTGCTGCTGCTGTTGCTGTTGTTGTTGCTGCTGCTGTTGCTGCTGTTGCTGCTGCTGCTGCTGCTGCTGCAGTGGCCCTGGCCTTTGTTTTACTTCCACTCACAGCTATTTTTTATTTCTTAGAAGGAGGGGAGCGCCTCTCTGCCGGTAAAGGATGCCAGCAGCAGTTGCCGCAGCACAGCGCAGCGCAGTTCCTGTTGTCTGTTTTCTGCTTTTCTTTTTCCGCTCGCTCCGCTCGTAAAATGATTCGCACATATAATTGCTTTTGTTGTGCGCCCCTCACACACACACACACACACTCTCCCTCTGACACGCCCCCATTCATACTACATTCCTCATTGCCTCTATGTGCCTTCCGCCTCCTGCCTCCTGCCTCCTCCCTTCTGCTGCTCGTGGCACTGTTTTGGCCGCGCGTTGAAATCATTCGTCAGGATTTATGCGAATGAGCGACAGTTTTTGCCATTTGTTTGCAACGACGCCGCCAACAAGAGCGCGGAGCACGGAGGCGGGGCAAGTGGGAGCAATAGAAACTGTAGGACAGGACGAACGGATGTGGCGAAGCATAAGCGATGAATGATGGTGTATCCGTATCTTGCCACTAAAGTATCTTTGTATCTGTGGCAACAGCAACAGTAACAGCAACAGCAACAACAACAACAACAGAGCCAACAGCGACAGCAGCAGCAGCGGCAACAATTGCTGAATATATTTTACGCGTTTAGTTGCGCCTTCCCGTTGCTCCATATCCTTTCCTGTTGTCTCCTGCCCAAGTCCTTGCCCCCGGGCACATTTTATTAATTCGTTTTATTTTACTTCGCGTGACAAGTTGACATAAATGGACAAATTGAGCTTTTAAATTTGTTGCACGCTGTCCTGGCAACAGAAGCCCGACAAACGGCAGCAGGACCAAGGCCAGGAGCAACCCGAGCCAGGACGAGGACGAGGACGCGCCACGACGATTGCGATAACCGGCAAACAACAAATACAAATTGTTTTCCAAACAAAATTGATTGCCCACTGTGCAGCACATCAGACGAATAATATTTATTGGATTAACATAAACTGAATGGCATCCTCCGCTCTCCTCCCCTGCAAGCTCACTCGCCTCTTTCTACTCTTCCCTTGCTAATTGTTAAGGTCAGTGCCAAGACAAATAAATCGACGCGAAACAGAATCAATCATTTTCAACAAATTGAATTGTTAATTCACGATCAATTTCCCAATTTTGCCGAGGAGATTCACCAAATTAAATTCAATTGTAATTAAAAAATTGGATAAGATATAACAAAATGTAGGATTTCGTAATCTCAGCTATAAATAATCCACATTTGAACTTTTGAATTGAAAAATAAAAACAAAATGCTTTATGTCATAGCTCGAAACGTAATACAGTTTTAATACAAATTACGTAGATCACTTATCGAGAAATAAATCAATAAAATATAAATCAAAATTAAATCAGGCATTTTAATGTTATATAAAGTATATACTCTATGCCATTTTATGTTTATCTTCTTAGTATTTCCTACAAATATTTCCTCTAGGTGTTTCCTCATAGTATTTTATCTAAGTATTTCTTCTAAGATTTCCTCGAAGTAGTTCTTCTATTTCCTTAAAGTATTTCCATTAAGTATTTCCTCTTAGTATTTCCTATCAGTATTTCCTCTAAGTCTTTAATGCTTAGCTGAACGATCATTAAATATATACACACACTTATCTTCACTCTTCTGCACTGCACGACTGACCCCCACTAGGCCTGGACGACTGAAGAAATGCTGCAGCTGTTGCCCTTTATATAGGTAAACTTTCACTCAAAGCCTAAGTCGCGCTCAAATGAGAGGACTCTCTTCTGCTCAAAGCATTCTAGCTTCGTTTTTCTTAATTGATTACTACTGCATATGTATAGGCAACATATATGATCTTCTGTAGTTCCGTTGCTTTTAGTAGGCAGTTAGACTGAGAGACGACGGATAGAGAGAAATGCAGACAGACATACAAACAAATACATAGGCACACTATGCGTAGTTAAATCGGATTACCTCATTACACTGCTCGAGAATATGTGTATATGCTTAAATAGGCTAATTATTGACATGCTATATTTGCATTTATTAGTTGATAATTAGACTTAATGTTCAGTTCAGAAGATATCTGTTCCCCGAGTAGGTTATATTTTGGTAAAGCGGCGTGTATTTTGTACTTTTAGTTCTAAAACTCGTTTTACATTTTACAGCGTTTTCGTCTATCGATAAAATGCATGTTACATCAGCAATGACATCAACCAATAGGTGAGTTTCTCGACTAGGCATATTATTGTCATCCTGTTCAAACAGAAGCGAGAGAGAAGATATTCAGTCCATAAGCATAGACTTCAACCAAATATGTGTTTGAGAAACAGGACGCACATCCTACCCGCCGCTAGAGGGCGACTATAAAATAGTGGAATCCATACTAATTTGTACTAACAGAAACGAACAGTATATTAACACAATTATAAATATGGTGATACTGAAAAAAATTATGATTTAATTTTAAATAAATTGTTCGAGATGAATAACATAGTGGATATTCAAATATATTTGAATTATGTCCATTTATTGGGACATTGAATATAAACAGTTTTAGAAATATTAATTTCGTGATAATTTAGGCAAGTGGTATATGTAATGAATTCATTATTTTCGTATACTTAAATTTGGTAAAAATCATAACTATGTTTCTAACTAAAATTAGAATCGATGTGACTTGGTTTGTATATATTTTGGGTTTTATGTACATAAGCTACAATAAATTCTACATATACAAAGTCTTTATAGAAAAGTCTTTATATTTATTTATTTCTCATTATGCAGACATGCATTTGCCCAAACCACTTTTGAGAGAGTGTTGAACAATGCTTAACTGTGAATCGTATTTATTCTTGACGAACTTTACTTGGACTTGCGCCACAAATCATCAAACGCGCTTTTGTCCAAAAAAAAAAAAAAAAAAAAAAAAAAAAAAATGAGAAGAAAGAAAAATTCGTTTGTTTTTCGTTTATTTTTATTTTTCTGTTATTTCTCCTTGTTCTTTTGAGGCACGTCAACGAAATAATCAACAAAAGGACATGGCATAAAAAACGGAGAGCACTAGGACTAAGCGAGCGGCAGAAATGACATTGACGGGTATGTGAACAGAATAAAATTTCATCAAAATGCGACTGTCAGAGACAGACACACACATATATACATATACATGCCTTGGGGTGGGTGGAAATGGGGAAAATGTATTGCAAATGGAAGAAATTGCTACTTTCATCTTGGCCCTTTGCACGCATGGAGAACTTTCACTGCTCGTGTGCCACGACCTGGGGTGGTTCACAGAGAGTGAGTGAGAGAGACGGAGAGAGAGAGAGAGAGAGGGTGGGTGAGTAACTGAAACATAGCACACATTTATATCATATATGAGGTTTTGCGAGCTCTTCAGCCCGGACAACTGACGCACCATGTCAAGAGCTGTCAGCCAAAGAACAAAGCACTCAGTAGCGCCAGGCGGACTGGCGGACAGACGGACGGGCGGCCATGATGCGCAGCTGAAAAGAAGTAGTGCTGCGAGCACTACTGTGAGCAGTGGTGGCGGCCAGAAGCCCCTTGAGTTCACCTTCCCGGCAAGCGACCCGCCGTCGCTTAGGTGTTGAAGGCCGTTCCACTTGTTCGCAATTGCAACAAAATTTGTTAATGTCCAGCCCTTGTCTGCATCGGGAACATGGCGGCTTACGCCGGCCCGTATCAGAGTCGGAGCAGTCCGAGGCTCTTTGCTTGCGCTGGCGCAGCGG